ACGGGCCCCCCCCCCATACCCAGGGGGGGGCCCCCCCCCCCCCTTTCCCTAAGCATTGTTTCCCCGACACATTTTCGCGCCCCCCCCCCCCCCCCCCCCCCCCCCGATCTTAGTTCCTGAGCTTCCGTGACTAGAACACGTATGTCCAGAGACACTTGAAAAGGAACAGCAACTGACTGCTGACTCGAGCCCCCTGTGTGGGATCTGGGCCGGGGGTCTGCCTCTTAACGGGGACCTCCCCCTCCCTCTGGTAAGCCCCGCTCCCCTTGCCTCCTTCTGCCCCCAGATCCTGGCTGTGCCTTGGACACGTCCACTTACTTCTGCCTCTGAGCCGAAGGGCTGCTCTTCCCCTTCCTCGTAGTCACTCTGGCCGTGGGGCTCTGGCTCATCTGAGCCCAGAAAAGATGCAGAATGCCAGGGATGAGGACCCCCAGGGGAAACGAGGCTGAAGCCTCGCCCCGGCCTGGCCCGATCGCCCCTTGGGGACCCCTGTGCTGAGCACTCTTTCTTCCCGACCCCTCCCCCCACCCCGGAGTCCTTCCCGCCACCCCCCCACCGTGCTTCTCCTCCCAGGGGGCCACCGGGTGGGTGTCCCAAGGGCCATACTCCCCGAGGGAAGATTATCCAGCAATAAAGTCAAATCAGGTGACCGCCACTCTGGAGGAGCCGGCCTTTGGTCCTTGGCTGGATGATTCCGGGCCAAACCTGCTTCCCTGAACTTCCTTCTGTTCCAGCTGTCCTATCTGGGGCTGAGGTGAGCCCGATGACCCTCAGTCACCTCCCTATCTGCCTGACGCTAGCTGCTCAGGGCCTCTGACGCCTGACCCAGGGGCAGAACAACTCGGCTGGACCAGTAGCTGAAGTCTGGACCCCTGACCGCTGTCTGCAGTTGGTCTTATTGTCCTGTCCTCCCCTAAGGATCCCCATGTCTTAGACCTTCTCTCTGGACCTTTGTCCCCGGCTCCTGCCCACCCCTTCCACGCACACCTGTAAGCAAAGGACCTTAAGCTGATTCTCTTGTTCCTTCCCGATCCCCTCAAGCCGTCCACGTTCCCCACCCTCCCCGGGGCCTGCTGAACCACTATGTTGGTCACCCTCCCACGTCGGATCTTGTGGGTGTCACTCAATGCAGCCACCACCACGCGGGGCAGGTGGGGAAGCATTAGGGAGGGGAACAGGAAGCCGTCCAGGTGACAGGTGATGAGGGTCGAGGGTCGAGAGTGACTTGGAGGAGGTGGTGTAGGATAGGGTGACAGCGCTGGGGAAGACGGCAGGAGCTCGGGGCTCTGCTCTGCCACTCGCTTGGGACATTTTGTTCAGCATCCAGACTCGGTCCGTTTTTACAAGGAAACTCTGCATAGGGGCAGGCATAGGGGCAGCCAATGGGGCTCTTACCAGAGACGTGGCTGTGGAGGTGGGGACAGGACTATGCCCCTGGGGACCATGGGAAGAGGAGTCTGAGGGACTAGGGACCAACATTCCTGACCTTCCTCCAGATCTCACCTTCCCCTCTCAGTGAGAAGGATGCTGATCTCCAAAGGGACTTCCAAGAGAAGGAATGTCAGGCTGTGAAGAGGAGTGGGATGCACAGGGGTTGTGGGGACAAAGGACACAGCCTGGGAAACAGGACAGGGGGCCAGGCACGCTTTTCTCTTTCCTTCCTTCCTTCCTTCCTTCCTTCCTTCCTTCCTTCCTTCCCTCCTTCCTTCCTTGTTTTATTTTGAGATATAGAGGCAGAGAGAGGGAATCCCAAGCAGGTTCCCCACTCTCAGCATGGTGCCCAACATGTGGCTTGAACTCACAAACCACGAGATGGTGACCTGAGCCAAAGCCGGATGCTTAACCAACTGAGCCACCCGGATGCCCCATCTTGGTGACGTTTCTATGCAGGAGACAGAGCCCCTTGGGGCCTGGGAAGGAGGTACTGAGGTTGGGGACCAGTCCCCACAGAGCTCCTCAGGCAGGCAACTGATCCGCTCTAGTCCCTGAGGGCCCAAGCCCTGGCGCCCCTGGAAGAAGGTCCCTGGCCTGAGGTCTCCCAAGCAGTCCCACCTTCAAACAGGCCTGAGGTTCAGGGCCAAAACCACAGCCCCAATTCCTCCGACTTCTGAAATACAGCTTCTGGAGACTGACTGGGAAGATACATACAGGGCAACGGATCTCCCTGTGTTTCAGGGTCAGGCCCACGGAAAGTGAATGAAGGAACAGACAGTCCCTGTGCAGCTGGCCCGGGGCTCTCCCCGGGGACTCGGCCAAGCACTTCTCACGCCCTCTCCAGACAGAGAAGGGCTGAGGCCCCAAACCATCCCAGGCCCCTGGAATTGGAATTGCAAGGTGGAATCGAAGCTCAGGGAGGCCCAGGCCTCTCGCTCTGCAGGAAGCCGGGACAATACCCACCTGGTAGCACTTTGCAGCATTTGCCTGTCCTTTGAAATAGGTGAAAGCAAACAGGGAGGGAGAAGGGTGCTAGTCGAGGCCCTACCAAGAGTCCGGCGCTGGGCTGGCACTGGAGAGGCAGGAAGGACACTGTGTGCCCTCAAGGAAGTCTTCCTGGAGTGTGTGTGAAGGTGTCATGACAGTGAGGTGTGACCAGGGCCCTGGTGAAGGTGAGGGCGAGGGTGAGGTGGGAGGGGCAGGACCGTGCCCTGGAGGCAAGAGGTGAATAGAATTCTGACCCGGATTAGTAGGGAGTCCAGGGAAGGGAGAGAAGGGACATCCTAGCCTGACAGAGGATGAACCCGAAGACACGGATTTGTGAGAGCACAGTGAGGTCCACACCCGTGTGTTAAAGAGGGAGGTAAGAGGCGCGTCTGGAGAGGAGGCAGGGCCCCCCTGACGGACTCAGGGCGTTGGGAGAATTCAAGCATGAACCAGACAAACACCGCAGGCTCTTGGACCTCTGGTCTCACTGGGTGCAGGAACCAGGCACGCCGACAGCTAGGTGACAGTCTGAGAAATCACACTGCGTTTCTTCTTTTTGAAACGTTTCATTATTTATTTGTGAGAGAGAGAGAGAGAGAGAGCACGCACGTGTGAGGAGGGGAAGGGCAGGGAGAGGGGGAGAGACAGAATCCCATGCAGGCTCCCTGATGCCAGTGCAGACCCCGACCTGGGGCTTAGATCTCACAGACCATGAGATCGTGGCCTGAGATGAAATCAAGAGTCGGACCCTTAACCGACCGAGCCTCCCAGGCGCCCCGAGAAGCCACACTGCTTTTCTGCCCCGGTAAACGGGCCACCGCTCACAGCGAGCGGTCAAGTGTCCCGGGAACTGACAACATTGTCTGATCTTGTGAACAGGCTGAAAATACGTGGGCTGGCTGATACCCGGATTAGGTAAAATCCTAGTTGGTTGAACAAACTTTCCCAGAGAGTAGGAAGCGTGGATGGCGGGCAACCCAGAAGAAAATATTACTTTTGAGCCTCAGGGACTCAGAGTTTCACTTCTGGCCTGGTGAAGGAGCCAGTTGCAGGGCTAGGTTCCTGTTCTTGCCAAAAAGCCCAGAAGATACCTGTGAACCAGAGCAAAATGATAATAATAATACAACTCACAAAATATGAGTCCAGAAAAAAAAAAATGATCCTATCAAAACCTTTCTAAAATGGAAACCTGTTTTAAATCCCAAGTTTACAAAACGTGACTTTAACAACTGAAAGAAATGGGCTCTTCTTCAAGAAAACACTGTGGAGACAGCAGTAATGAATGTCTGGACTAGAGGGGTGGCTGATTCCCCCCCTGGGGGGGCGGGAATCTTACCTGCTGGCCAGGGAGGGGCCCAAGGGATTAAAAAAAGGCTCCCAAGGGCCATCTTTTCTAGGCCTGATTCACACTACCTCAACGAACTTCCTCCTATCACTGCTGGGTGAGTCTGTTACATTGTCAAGTAAAGCAGTCACTTTGGGGGAATTTGCTGGAGGGTAAGAGGAGACACCACACCCCTCCCTGCTCCTGCCTCCCCCCTCCTCCCCCTCCACCCCCCCACCCCCCCCCCCGCACATTTTCACCTCAGGCTGTGGCAAAAAGCCCACAGATGTTTACATCTGGAGGAACTTTCCAGCAGTCCCTCTCTAAGGATAGAATGGACTCCTAGGAGGGCTGGTGAGCTTCCTGGCCCAGGATGTGGGCCCTTGGGGCCGAGATCATCCGGAAGGAGGGGGAGGCTGGGATGCCGGTGTGAGCCCTTGACCCCACCCTGCAGGGTCTCTCCTGACAGGACGCTGGTTGAGGCCATGATTCCACGAATGAAATGCCTGGTGTGGTCAGGCGGGGTCACAGGGGTTCGGGCTGGGGTGAGCGGTCAATGGAAAGGACCTGGGCAGGTGCGCTGCTTAATGAAGCCTGCTGGGGAAGGCATGATGGCCCCCCCCATCCCGGAGGGGGCCCGAGTTCACCAAGTAGAAAGCTCGGAGGAGCAGAAATGCCAGCCATCTGTCGGCCTGAGGTCTCCAAGGAGGTGGGTTTGATGACGTCCAGGTTGGGTGTGAGTTCGGCTCAGGGCTCGTCAGGACATCCGTCCCCGAGGTGGGAAGTCTGGGGCCAGTCGCTCCACCTGGTTGCGCCTCCGTTTTCTCCCGAGTCAAGCAGAGTCATGCCCGCCTCGCGGGGTCTCTGCGCGGGTGACCCGAGCGCTACGAAGCCCGCGCACCCTGCAGGGCCCGGCCCCGGGATGCCTCTCGTCCTGCCGTCCCGCCCCGGGCCTGTGTCGCCGGGTCGCAGGCGCTGGCAGCTGCAGCGGGGAGGGGGCGACGCGGCAGGCCGGGCCCGGGCGCACGGTCCCCTCGGCACCCTGCGGGAGGCGCCGGGCCGGGACCTGGGAGCTCGCGGGTGCAGACAGGTATTTCCAGTCGGG